AAAAAAAAAAAAAAAATTACAGATTGCCTGTAAGTTTCTGTACTTACACTTGATAGAATTTCATTGATTAATTATCATCAGATAAGGTTCATACAATGTCTATAAGCAGAACAAATATGAGGTGAAAGGATAATGAAACATGAAATTGCTGATTTGGTAATCATTACTTTGTTCAAAATATTTCCCTGAAACATGAGTAAAATTGAGAATTATTTAGGAAGATTAAAGCAGTAGAAATGGTTTGACCAACTCCTTCTCTTCAGGGCTAAAGCCATGATTTTAGGTAGGTCTATGTGCATACTAGCTAAAGTGGTCTTTGAAGTGGAACTAATTATTATCAGACTGTTATCTGTTCACTAAGGATATATTGTAGGTTTTATTGTTGTTCTTAAGTATTCATTTTCTACCTCCCTTAAATATGTTTTCCCATAATTGTCATAAGACCTGTCATGCCTGCCTATTAGAGGTATATGCTTCCATACTCCATTGTTATCTGATTTGGCCACAGTCCTTGCTCTGGCCAATGAATTTGAGCAGAAATGATGTATGACACATCCAACTTAACATTTAAGGGCCATTGTATGCTGCAGTTCCTGCTCTCTGTTCCCTTGGTCACAACAGTAGCATATGTAGAGGAGGTTGTTCCTTCAGTCTGGATCCTTGAATGAGGTACATAAGACAGGATCAGAATTACACCCAACCCAGGACTTTTAATGATTGACCACTGCAGCCAGTGATTCTTAAATATTTTTTATATATGTTGCATTACTTCCTTTTAAATAGTGTTCAACCAGTCTCCAAGACAGTTTTTACTGGAAATGATTCTGGTCTCCTAGCCTGTGTATGCCCTTTATTTTAATAAAGCTCATCTTTGTAATCTATGGAATGCTGAGAAAGGAAAGGACATGATTTCCAAGATCTAGTCAGAGAAAATGTTGCCATTTTCATTTTTCTCATTCTTGGTACACTTCTAATGGGAGAGATTGGGTGCTATGTTATGAGGACACTAAAGCAATCTTAGATAAAAGTGGACAGTCCTCCTGACAACAGTCAGCTCCTGGTTGCCAGTCACGGAGAGGAGCCACCTTAGAAATTCACTCTCAAGACTGGGCCAACATTTCATGACAGTCTCGTGAGAAACCCTCGGCTATGTTGCTTCTACCCCATAGAATTCTGGTGCATAGAAACTAAGACAATAAATGCAGTTTTTGAAGTTAGTAAGTTTTAATATAATTTGTTAGAAGGCAGTAGAAAAGTAATAAAAATGATGTCTCAGGAGACTTCTTTCAGCTATATAGTAGCACTTTCCAGAAAACTAAGACTTTAGCCAAGAACAAGGCTAATACAGAAGACATCTGTTTAAAGGCATTGGAGAAAGATCAAGCAAATAAAAGTATAAACAGGAACATTTCAAATGACAATGAGTGCACTAGAGAAAATCAAACTGGAAAGTGTAATGATTTGCATGAAAGAGCAATGTGCTTTACGTAGGATAACAACCGAAGAGTTTTAAAGAGCTTAAAGAATTTTAAAAAGCAAAATCTGGATGTTAGGCTGGGTCCTTCCTTGTGCCTGGTTTGCAGGAGTTAGAAGAGTCAGCTCACTTATCTCTGATGGGGTGTATGGGGGTGTACTGCAGCAAGTCTATCTTGTCTATGATCTAAGCCCCCATTATTCTGAAAGCTATGAATTAAATAGCCATTTTTGTGGGAGGAAACATCTGCAAAATTCAGTTCCTAAGACTGACCACTGTTTATGCATAGAAATTCACCAACTGACAGAAGAGGTGTCACCGATGGCAGAAAAGGAAAGACTTGCATGGTCAAAGGTCCCTTTAAAGTACTTTTGTTCATTTACTCAAAAATAAAAGATGAATTCAAGCTCAAATTATAAGGGCAGTATTTTTCAGAGTATTTTCTTTATGCGTAGGGACTGAGGTACAGTGCTAGTTCAAAATGTAGATTCCTAGTCCCTACTTGAGACCTACTAGCTCTGGGTAAGAAATCTGGGAATCTATATTTTTGACATTCATTCAAAGTAAATCATATGTATGTATAAATTTACTAGCCACTACCAAATGGCAACCTTTCTTATCTTGAGGCATCTACCTTTCAAGTTCAATTTCTCTGAGCTAGATTTTACAATTGTTAGATAATAAGAATTAACTGAGTAATAAAATGATTAAGACAAAATTTCTGAAGTTTAAATTGAGATGAATTATAACATAGTAGGAAATTCAGCTTTCTCATTGGAGCTGTAAAATGCTATGAGTTAGGAAGGCCAACAGAAATAAAAATAAAAAGATTACTTATATAGTACTGCTTTCTGAGGAATGCAAGATATTTACCAGTTCATGTATGGGGTATTTTTATAACATGCCCAAGTTTTACTTTGAGATGACAGCTGAAAGTTTATTAAGCATAGTGATATGTGTAATTCTCTATTGAATCAGCAGTAGTGGAAAAGAGAAGATTCATATGTCTTTTCCCTTTCTGATAAAATATTTTGGCTTATTGCAATTTATTGAGAAATTCTTATATGCAAGGCACAAGATAATCCCAATGAATAAAGCCATATTTTTCCACGTTCTCCAGGAGTTTACATTCTAATGAAGGGTAAGTCTCAAAAAGTCACAAATAAATATATAGTTATAAGTTGACGTCATCTACAGTCATTTTTCTGAAGTTTTAATAAACTCCATCTGACAAAAATGAATCCAAACAATCAGGACCCTCTACTAAAACACCAAATGAATATAAGAATTGTCAGCTTCATGTTTTGTTTTGACTTAGTTTAATATTTATTTCCTAAAAGTGTCATGTTTCTCACTCTGTCACATAATTTGTCTGTAAGAACATCTGTTGAGTGTATTGTAACGTCTATGAAAAGATTAATGTGACAAAAAGCCTTGGAGATAGCTAAAAACAGCAATGAGCCTGTAGGGTGTGATCATCTAGTGATTTGGTTGGAATCCCCTGTTCCTTGTGCTTCTTAAGGGTTCAATGTGTTATGGTAATGGAGAACATAGTAGTAGCTTTATTTTTGTTTCAGACATCTCCAAAATTCTGCTCCCTTTCTCAGATGGCGAATTTCCCCCGTCAACTTAAATCATTCTTCTGAAAACAAGAGGATGTAATTTTTATGAGCTGTATTTTTGTGTCTGATCAATTGAGAAAAGTTAGTAAGAGAACATGTATAGCTTTCTGTAAACTCCAGCCACAAGTCTATGGGATTTCAGCTTTCGCAAACATGTTCACTCATTTGAATTCCACAAATGCCATGGTTTATATTTTTAAGGACTATATCCATTTGTTTGTCAAGTGTGAAAATGAAGGGACTTGGGCTTGCTTATTATTAATTTCTTTCTCAAATAACAAGCATACTAACCAGAGGAAGCACATATATCATAAGCCATTAAGAATTAATAGGAACACCATAGTTTCTGAGCCAACTGCCTTATAACCATCCTGACCGCATTTCACACTCAGCCACTGTGTGTTCTGTGAGGTGTACTCCATTACTTAACCTGCTCAGCACACATCCCACCTGCCAAGTTATGAGTATTCAGGAAAAGCTCCAGGAGGGTGTCTGGTATTTCTGTCAGCTGAGACAAAAGCATTTGACACATTCTGTCAGATGTCATTGACTCAGGTATTCCAGGCTGCCTTCAATAATACGATGTGAAAGAAACAGTAAAAGCTGGAGGTGGGGTGGGGGAAGAAGTAGAGTTTTACAAATCCACAATTACAAGAGAATTTGAGTCTGTCAAAACAGCGTTCAAACTTTCTCATATCCTGCTTCCTAAGTTATGATCCCCGAGGAAAATCAGCAGGAGAGAAATGTACTGGCATCCCTTGTTTGCAGTGGGGTGTAGGTAATCAGAGACTTGGAATTTGTATCTCTCCCTCTATGTACTGAGCAGCATTTGTATAATTTATTTCTTCATTCATATTTCATTATTATTAATCATCATAAATAAGTAAGTCGCATCTTTTAATGACATAGGGGTTGAAGAAATAGACTGTGTCAGTGTGTGACACTGCTGCACAGTCATCATTAGGGGGATTTATTATTTTTGAAAAAAGCAAGTTAAAAGACTCAGCTCAGTAGTCAAAAGTGCAATTTGGGTTTTATTGTGCAAAAACCTAAAGTGGAAACAGTTCTTCTGAAACTGTTTAACATACATGTAATTCAAACAACCTTCTTTACAAGGCCTTTGGTGCATTCATGCTAGTACAACAAAGTTCTCTGCCCAAGTTATTCCTTTCAAGCTTCATAGTTTAAGCACAACATGAATACCTTGGCCATAGGAACTCACTGAAGCTGCAAACACCGAGCTCAGTGTCTCTCCTGCAAATAACAGGATTCTGGGGAAACCTCCTATTGCTCCCTTCAGAGGCAATTAGTGGTTTTGGATACACCTGGAGATTATGAATTCTGGGAGAGACCTCCAAGCTGCAGGTCACATTTCACTTTGGTCTGGTAAGAAGCCAAATAAAAGAGGGATTTTAAAATGTAGGCAATTTTCATTTAATATTTTCGCCTGCAAACTGTTCTTGCTTCCTTTGGCAAAGAAATAAAAATTTCCAGTCTAGGGAGCTTCAATGTATCACATGAATATTACATTTTATCCCATGTTAACCATTTCACACAGGAGGGAGAGGGAGAGAGGGAAGAAGAGCTTGAAGAAGACTGGGCCAGGTGGTTTGGCTCTCCGGTGCTTACCTGGAGGACCGGCCGCCGTGAGAGGCGGATCAGTGTGCGTCAAGGAGTCGCTCTTCCAGAGGCCCTATATGATCCCTGACTTGGAGTCCCAGGATTGCAGCAGGACCTCAGGTGCTTTTGATTTCTGGCTTGCGTCATAATCGAAGAGTGGACAGAACGTAACATGAGTTTTATAAAGTGACTTCACAATCTGAGAAAAATGGCCCTCCTTCGTAACATTTAAATATATATTTCTTCCTGCGCTGTGTAATAGGGTTACTCTAAATCAATGTGCTCAGCCCTGGTGAACATTAGAATCCCTCAGGGAGCTTTTAAAACAGGAGCAATGTCCAATACCACCCTGCATCAGATTTTAATTGATCTGAGATGAGAGAAAAAATGTAAAAGCTTCTTGGAGGATTCTAATATGCTCAGGATTGAGAACTAGTCTAAGTATTTAGTTGTAATAAGTATGACAGCACCTTGATTATTTTTCTAAGTATGTTTTGTGTATTAGTTTATAAAACTGAGGAAGGGTATCCCTCATGATATATTTTAACATACTGAATTTTAGCTTGGAAAATTTTGGAGACTGATTTGTGTGTGTGTTCTTTTTTTCCTATCTCTCTTTCTTAATGTTTGTTTTCTTTTCTTTTTCCTTGCTTTCCAAAACATACACTCATGAGTGTCCATATTTACACACACATATGCACACACACACACACACACACACACGGGGATACATAGACAATTCTAGGGGCATTATAGCAATTTTTAAAAAATTATTATTACCAGGAATATATTATCTGTGAATGTGCCTTTCATTTCTTTAGGGATAACTGAAAACTTTTATTGCTTTTTTTATTCCTTCCTTCACTAAGCCAAATATCTACAAAGTATCAAATAATTACTCAGGAGATGAAAACATTTCCATTAACTTAACAAAGTAGATGGAGATTGACACATTTTAATATTAGTAGTGCCCCAAATTTTGAAATATATGCCAATAATAAATTAATGAATTAAAATAAATATAAAAACAAAAACATATATATTCATCTAAATTACACTACTGAGTATAATGGGCATGAGTACTTTTTTGCCTGAGTTATCTTGGTAGCAATGTCTTTTTGAGCAAATTAAATGACTAAAATTAATATTAATTAAAGCAAAATGGAGATCAAAGTAATGTTTGGTTGATATTGGAAGAGAAGAATGACCTTTCTAAAGTTATAGAAAAGGAATGTCCCTTGAAGTTCATTTGTCTTCATTTATAAATAAGGAATTTAAGTCTACAGGATTCCACTTTTGTCTTACTGTTTCTTTGTTAACTTTAAAACTAAAATCAAGCGGCTTCTGCAGCAGATAAAGGTAGAGTTTAAAAGTTAAAGAAGTGTTTACAATCAAATGATTTCATTGTGAGTCTAAATCAAAGGAAATCCAAGTGGCTCTGCCACTAAATTTTGTACCTTGGATGAATATTATACTGAGTAAGGAAAAAATTAATATAGATATTTGAGGATGTTAATATCAACAAAATTAGAAGTATTTGAAATCTTTTATAGCTCATGATGCATGGATATGTTACTATGTAATTATCTAGAGATTTGCTCCTTGAAAGACAGTGAAGGTAAGGGCCTGTGATTAGGCCCCATTATACACATAAACCTGTTAGGTTTTGTCAAGTATTTATAACAATAAATAATTTTTGGGTCGGGGATTTAGCTCAGTGTTTCTGCCACCTGCTTTGCAGGGGCAAGGACCCGAGTTCAATCCCCAATACCAAAAAATTTTTTAAAAAATAATTTTTTTACAAAATATATTCTAAAAATAAATATTTCATTAAAAGCTATAATGCAAAAATACATTTAATCAAAAATATGTTTAATAATAAATTCTATCTTCCAATTAATACTAAAATGCTCATTTTTCCCCCCTTGATGAATACTAAATGCTCAAGTGTATGGTACTATATATCACCCTCTAATTGAACATTTTAATGTCCCAGTGACAGAAATGTCAAGTATTTGGTTACCATAGTGAACATTATTTAAAATATTTTAAACACTATGCATATCCAGGCAGAGGCTTTTAATACCTTGATTAAAAGATATACTCATATTTGCCAGTGAGATTTGGGCAAAGAAGATTAAAACCATTGACAGATTGTTTCTTAATGCTCTAGAATATGGACAGAAATACTTAAAAGACCCTGCTGTAGACCAGGGAAATAGTTTCATCTTGAGGGCTACAAAGGATGTGAACATGAGGTGAGAAGCTTTCTTAGTCTCTAAAACCTAAATAATGAAATCCTACTCCCAGAGCTTTTGGACTTAACTGATACTTACCTAAAGCCAAGTGACAATCTACCTGTAGACAAGAACTGGAACCTTTTGAGAATCTTTTGTATTAGAAATGGGGTCAGCATTCTTGGTTAATTTTGCTTTGGAATAGATCCTTGGCCTCAATCTGGAATACTCCATGCAGCCCACAGAAAGGCTAGAATGACATTGGTTCCTGGGAGCAGAGTCATCAAGAGCTTGGCCTTTGAGGTTCTGTAGATCCAGATCCTACTTAGCACTCTGGTTTCTTTTTGAATAATCTTTAATTTTTAACCCTAAATTATTTAGTCTTCTAAGCCTCAGTGTTCTTGCCTATTAAACAGTAACATCTACTTTAAAAAGACCTTGTGAAAATAAAATGAGATTTTTGTAAAGACCTTGACACAAGACCTGCCATATAGTCAAAACACAATTTCACTCATTCAATAAATAGTTCTATGGATCAGTCGGATAGACTAGAAAATTTCTGAAGTCCACTGGGAAATGAAAATGTAGGCTTCCCTGTTGAAAAAGCAGGAAAATGTGCCAGAAAGATACTTAAATATAAAGCTTGATCTTTTTCAACAGTCACTGTTTTGTGCATTACAAATAATTTTTCTGTGTTTTTCTACAATTTATTGTTGTTCTACAAAATAAAATTTAGAATTTTAAATTATTGGCATGAAGTCTACCTTTTTTATATTATGCAATGCCAGTTTTAAAGGAAAATGTAGGAGAATTTAACCTATATTTAGATTCATCAAAATTATATAATTTGTATGGCATAGTATATATATATGTATGTATAATTATACATACATATATATATATATATATATATATATTCTTACAAAACATTAGGACCACCAAACAAAACTAACTGAATTGGTTTTACTTCACTCTTTATCTTCATATATGCACATTTTACCAACACTATCTTTGTCTTGAGTAAGGAAGGACTGAAAGAAAAGGGAAACTAGTTGCCTTATGTTCATTTTCCTTCCATATCATCATTTTACATGAATGTTGGACTAAGGAAATAAGTTGTGTAAGAGAGGGCATTATAGGGTTCCTTGGTCATAGTTGTTTCTTAGAAAATCATTGTCTCCTTTGTACTTTTGAAGCACATCCTAGTTTGAATCAAAAGGCCTGACCTCTTGGGGATGCCAGCACTCTTCTGAGTTATGATTGTAACACAGTTACCTGGACTTGCATTGAGTGGGGTTATGAGTATTCTGTGTGCTTGGACACTGTAAGCACAATATGAGAATGGGACATACATGCTGAACACATTTCCTCTGCTCAAAGAATGTTCTCCTGTCCCATTGGACTCCATTTACAAAATGCAACTTCAAAGATAAAATTATGGGGCCGGGGATTTAGCTCAGTGGTTTCGCCACCTGCTGCGCAAGCGCAAGGACCCGAATTCGATCCCCGGTACCAAAAAAAAAAAAAAAAAAAAAAAAAAAAAAAAGATAAAATTATGAATTTCTAGATGGTGACAGCGCTGCATTAAACCAAGCAGAGAGGCCAGTGAAATAGGTCACTCATCCTTGAAGGTTGTCCTGTGGATAGGACATTGTTTTATATGTTGAAAAACACAGAGGCAAAAAGCACAAGTCATATCACTGCTTCATGGAGCATACAAGGAACAAATAAATAAGTAAAGAAAATCTGGAGGTTGACAAATGTAGTGAAAACAATAATTAGGAAAATATGTTGGTGGAGAAATATGATAAGTGATGAGATAGCCCATTTTAGAAAATGTCATTAAAGAGGTCTTATCCTAGGAACTGACATTTGAGCTGTGACCAACATAGGGAAAGATGCCAAATAATCCAAGGATCTGAGGAAAACAAGTCTCTGGAAGAGGGAAAAATTCAAGTAGTACAATGATTCCGAAGGGGGACTGAGCTTGGTGAGTTACATTACAAGGGCCCTAGGGTATCTGAAATGAACACTGTTTCTCTGCTATCAGCACCATTGGTGTCATCTTGGAGCTTACTACAAATATGAGAATCTTGTCCTCCACCCCAGGCCTCCCAAATAAGCATCTACATTTTTATACTGATCTCCATGTGATTTGATGCACACTGAAGTTTGAGAGGTCCTGGATTAGACCACCAGTGTAGTTGGAATTCTTTTTTTTTTGGCACCGGTGATTGAACTCAGGATCTTGTGCTTGTGAGGCAGGCTATGGAACCACTGTGCTAAATCCCCGGCCCTGAAATTCTTGAGGTAATAAAAGTTTGTTGGTTTCTGTCAGTTGGGGAAATGTGAATTAAAGAAGTAGGAGATATGGACACTCTTAGAAGATGCTGGGCTATCCTTAAATCCTCTTCATTTTCTTGAGCATTTGCCTTTGGAAATGTATTGCACGAGCCCAGGACAATATTGCAGAGTGTCCCAGGAACAGACCTTGCCAATGGCAGGCCCGATCTTCCCCGCTATCCCCTGACTATTGTCAGAACTATTTGCTGTCTTCTTGGGTTCTTGGTTTTCCAACTGAGGATTTATCCTTTCTAGAAATCTCTGGAGACTCTACTGTCTGCATTCCTTTCCATGGGAAACATGGTCTTCCTCTACCTAAGAGGAGAGGCAAAATCTTGTTTACTGTTTTACATATTATTTTTCTAGTAATTAAAGATGACTTACAAAGTCAAAATCAAGTTTATGCAATCACAAAGAAAGAAGAATTAATTGCTATTTTTTCTTAGGAAGTATAGTATGGCAACATTACTGCTTGATTGACATGCTAAGCCATGCTGGTATCCCTGTTTATCATATTGGAACA